AAAATAGGAATTAAACAATAAACAGCTGTATTAGTTGAATTATACAACATTATTGAAGTTTTTGTAATACAAGATTAAAGTAAGTTTCCATGTGTAATGATTATTGATACCAATTGACTAGCATTGGTTTGTTCTCAATATTATTTTATCATTTAGAAAGTTGAATAGTGTTGCAAGTATTATTTCCTTGTTTTTTTCCCCCCTTACCCTCTGATTTTGTTCATTGTCACTACAGAAAAATTAAATGAATGCAAATAGTTTTTAAGTTTGCTTAAACTCCTATTAACAGCTATTTTAAAAAATTCTATTATTCTACTACACTTCATGATGTCTAAAGATGAGTATAGATTTGATTTTTATAACTAGATTAAAAAAGTGGCTTAAATTCATATTATTCCTATTTATAATAGTTGAGCTAATTAAGATTCTTGCCAAAATTTTTCAAAAAATACAAAAAATGTAGTAAATAAGTAGGTTAATGGAATTTCAAGAAGTGAAAGAGAAGTATTGATCAAGCAATAGCTTTCTGAATAAAATTTATTACCTATGGAAATATATTAAACATGAATGAAAAGTTAATTATATGTTATTGCATTTAGCTATTGATAAGATAAAATGTCACAAACGGCTGTAACAGTGACTTTTTAACTTAAAATTTCTTTCATCTTCAAATAATTCAAACATTAATGAGGAAGATTATTATAAAACAGTTGCATGCAGTCAGAAGTATTTTTGTGCTTCTGAGACTCCTTTACAGGGATGAAAAACACACAACTTTTCGCATAATTTCCTAATGGAAATAGTAGTCAAAATTTTCTCATCATAAAAGTAAAGATTTAACAAAGTCAAATATTTAAATCAAGTAAACAAAGAGCATCAGTTAAATTAACAGGAAATTTTTTTTATATAATTGAAATGTATAGTTGTAACAAATAGGTTAAATGTGGCTACCTCTTTTAGATTTTTAATACAAAATATATAGCTATCAAAATTTTAGAAAGTGAAATAGATGAAATTTTTTATGAAGGAATCATATTGAGTTATTAACTACACAATGAGCTATAATCGTGACTTAATCGTCTTAAATATTTTCAAATTAACCATAAATTTATGCTAAGATTATGATATTAAAAAAATTTATCAAATTAACATACTATGATGGATCAGATCCATGATATTCACAAATCAAACTTTAACATGTCAATTCTGTTGAATCTAAAGTATCTGTAAACATTGATAATGCTTTTCTTCACATTATATTATGGCAGGGGTGGCCAAAACGTGGTGCATTGAACGATTACAAATGGTGCTTCAGTTAGTTCTGAGCAAAATTGCCAGATTTGGCTTTTTTGCGATTAAGAATATTATATAGAAAAATAAATTTTTTGTAGTCTGTCTTGGCAAGTTCATTTGTTTCACAATTCGTTACGGTCTATTTTGCAGATAAAATGAGTATTTTCCACATAGTAAATTACATGTATGTATGTATTTTGAGTCTTGCGATCTTTATTTCAGATCAGTTTACAGGCGTGTAAATGGCTGAAAACATTTATTGTGATTAAAGTTATTCCAAGCTGATCTCATTCTCAGTGCCAATAATTGTGGTGCAGAGTAATCTTCATCAAACGAGACTCTGGCAGCAATAGCACCATCATGAAGCGATCACCCTCTCGTACAGGAGATCATTGTTGACTATTGTAAATTGGTGCTTCAATAAACTGTCGTAAATTAATTAATTCAACTGCATGATTAAGTTATTCCCTTTTTTTCCTAAGCAAAGCAGATTTATTCTTATCTCTATTTATCAACCCCTAACATTGAACTTAAGACTGTATAAAAAGTGTTCGAGTTATATGGCGCATTTGAACTCGTCTGTCAAAAAATTGGCGCATGGTATGCAAAAGGTTGGCCACCCCTGTATTATGGTATATCACACTAGGCATAAAGTATTTGAAATGAAATGTACTTAAATTGTTTTGATATTAAATGAAAGTCTTTCAAAATATCTTTCCTAATTTTCATTCTCCCTCTGGTCTCAAATATAAAACTTTATCAGAAATGAATTGCTTTTATCATAATTTATTTGATTTCTTCAAATATTGTCTACATATTGTCATTGAGTAAAATTTTATAATTGAAATATTCTGGAAAATCATAATTATAATGGTCTTTGATTTAATGGACTAATTGGGGAAAGGATGCTACTGACAGAAATCCAGTAAATGGAATCTATGTTAAGTCTATTAATGTTTTTAAATTCATTAAAATAATAATATATAAAAATGTAAATATATTAGTGTAATTTATATTTACTCTCTTTAATCCAACCTTTTTAGCATGCTCTATTTGCAAGTAGACTTTAGTTTTTATATTGCACAAGAACTATTAAATTTGTTTTGTCTGTTATATCAATATTTACATTAAGGGTTTACTGTGTTTGTATTTTAATTGCAAAATTTTTTTTCTTCTGAATTACAATAATAAGATAAAAATATATGCAAATGCCCAAAATAATAAAGCATGAAAACAATAAGTAAATACTGTGTAATAAAATGAAAATCACATTTATTGGTCATGCACTTTCGACTTAGCCATTGTAAACATTTTTAAAAAATTTTTTTTTATTTAACCAAACGACCCTATGACCATTGGCCTTTTTCAAGGGTCCAAAAAAAAAAACTAAAGATACAGACATATATAATATATACAATCAACAAAACAACAAAAAAAGAACAGAGAAAAGAGAGACAATAATAATAAAATAAAAATACACATAGCTAATCGCAGCTCAATATTTTTACAGTCTGTTTAAATTGCCCATAAGTACTCAAATCTTTGTATTATTCTTTTAAAGCATTCCAGTTATATATAAGTTGATAGATTGGTGCATCTTGTCCAAAACAGTGCTTAACTTTTGGTAGAATCAAATTTATTTTTCCATCGATAGTTGTAGTTAGAAGGCCTAAGGTATTTATTTAATTCATCACTTATATAAGATTCTTTCTTGCTCACCTTTATTAGTTTAAAACTTTCTAGAAGAACTTGTTTTTTATATAAAGCTTTTATTTTATCAATTTTGATCTGGTTATAAAAAGAAGTGACTGAAGAATCATAAGGTAATTTATGTAATGCTCTTATAAAGTTATTTTGTATAACTTGCAACCTATTTGATACAAAAGAAGCTGTACCCCATACGGAAATACCATATCAAAGTTTAGGTTCCATGCAAGTGTGATATAAGTGCAAAACAGTCTCAAAATTTTTTTAAATTTTGAGACTGTTTTGCACTCATTATTCTTTTCAGTATTCCAATAAATCTAGATAAAGACAGTGTTAAATTATTTATATGATTATTCCATCGTAATTTATCATCAATTTCGATACCTAAATATTTTACAGTATTAACTCTATGAATACATTCATTATTTATTCTAACTTGTATATCTTCTAAATTAACTTTTGTTTTTATTTGATAAACAAATATATTTTGTTTTATTTTCATTTACACTTAAGTTATTATTTCCCATGTACTTAATTTAGATAGCAAAGAATTTATATTATTTTCAACCAAATGAAGATTCCAATCTGCATATGTTATAACAATACATTGGGAATAGTCTCTACAATATCATTTATATAAATATTAAAAAGTAGAGGGCCAAAAATGGATCCCTGTGGTACACCTTTGTTCACTCGAAAAGGTTTTGATATTGAATTTTTTACCTTAACATAGTATGTACAATTTGATAAATAGGACATTAATCATTCCAATGGCACTCCTCTCAATCCAACTTTAATTAAACAATTTTTGTTTTAATATCTGAATATCTATGCTATAAAAAGCCTTGGTCAGATTGATAAACACCACCATTACAATATTTGAATTATCGAGACTGTTACTAATATATTGTTTAAGATGAGTCAAAGCATTAATTGTAGAGGCCTCTCTTTTAAAACCATACTGATTTTTAGATTGAATTTTATATTTATTGACAAATTCAAAAAATCTTTTATAGAAAGCCTTTTCAATTATTTTAGTTATACTCTGAATAATAGTAATTGGACGATAGCTCTCCAAGTTCTGTTTAGATCCTTTATTTTTAAATATTGGGATTACGAGATTGTGTGTAAGCTTCTCCGGAAACCTCCCACACTCAAAGGATTTATTAATTAAATAAGATAATGGTAAAGCAATTATATCTGCTATTTGTCTTAAAATAAATATATTTAACTTATCAATGTCCGGAGTATTTGCTTTTACACTCATAATGTAATCAAAAATCTCTAGGAGAAGTCTCTTCCAAAACAAAAGAGTCGAGTATACCGCATAAAAAGGAATGTGAGAAAAAATTATTTTTTAACATTGATGTGACAATGCCTCCCATCTGTCTATAGTGTTCAGCAAATATATTACTTATTTTTTCTTCATTTTGAAAAAGTTTACCATTATGTTTCAACTGATTAATTTGTGCGTTATCCTGTGTTTTAACTACTTCGATAGGTAGATGTTTAATCTCTTGCCAAAATTCTATAGAGGAACATATATTAGAGAATTGTCTGTCATAGTAATCTTCCTCTTCTTGCCTAATTTTATATCTAATATCCTTGGATAGCCCTCTCAATTCCGTTAATATTTTAGTACGTCAATCTCCTAAAATACAACAATTGTTAATTGTTTAAACAACCTCTTCTTCTGGCTAATTAACTTTTTTGTATCATTTGAAATAATTTTTGCCAAAAATACCTTTCGCTTTATCTTGGTTTTCTTATTTAGTGTTGTTATAGGAAAGTATTTATTAATGAAAATCTGCAGGATATCCTGAAAGTAATCCGCCAATTGGTCAACAAAAAGATCTGCGGAATAATAATAATCATCCCAAGCGAAATAAGCTGACAGTGGCTGCCAAATCTGACAAAATGTGTACCACTTTTGTGCTTTGAGATGGAAAGGAACTAATTGCAATCATCAGTATCACAATATTCTTAGACTGTTGCTTTCACACGCTTCAGATGCCATGTTTAATAAGAAAAGGTTTGTTGTGTTGAACAGAAAGTTTATTTTTTTCAGCAGTTGTCATTATTTAACATTTGGGTGTGATTTTAATTAAACAGTTGTGAAATTTAACACTGTTGCTAATGTGAGATTATATTCTTTGTTTAGAAGCTTATTTTAAACTTCACATTTTGTTTGAATAAAATAGTTGAAATGTCTTCAGATAAAAAGCATGTCAGGTGCATTATGCTTTGAATTTTGGAAAGGATAATGCTTTTATTATTATGGATTAGAAATGCTAATGAGAAGAGACTATTACCATGCTTGTGTTTTTCATTTTCTTAAACTGAGAATCGGGCTTTCAAATAAAGTTTATTTTGCTTAATTTTACTGTTTTATTTCATTGATCTGGTTAGTCTAGAATAATTAAGGAATAAATTTTATCATCTTTCTTACTTTTGCAAAATTCTTATGCATTTGAATGAATTAGATTATTTATATTCTATTAGTAGCTTTTTTTTTTATAGAATAGTTGAAATATTGGTTCTAAGTTCACATTTTCTGAGAATTTGATGTAGAGGACATGCTATTTTTATAAAAGGAGCAATATTATGTAAGCTGTGTAGAATTACTGTGAAATGTTCTCAAATGTGTCACCATTTTATGTACTATTTATACTTAAAATCAGTAACATACAAGATATTTTACTGTTGTCTTTGGTGTATATTTCTTGGTTTTATTGCAAATATAACTTAATGTGTAAATTTTTAATCTCAATGGTTAAGAATTAATGTTAATGGTATTTAAATTTTCCTTTTTCACAAAATTTAAGATAGGAAAGTGTTACAAAATATCAACTTTGTTTGCATTTAAGATGTATTAGAAATGAATCTGGTTTTTTTTTCAACAGTAAACAAACAAAATCAAGAGTATATTCAGAGTATATTCTTATGGTGCTACAGCACCCCTTAACACCAAAGCAATCATTTGTTACTTTAAATATAATGCATATCATATGACTTCAATGGCAGGAAATAAAAGTGTACAAATAGAAAAAAGATTGTTTCCAAGAAATATTGTAGTCAGTGTAGAGCACAGATTAAGGATAATTTATGTATAAATTCAAAATAATTAATTTTTATAGAAATTATCAAAGAAGAAATGCAATGATTTCATACCTTTTTTCTATTATTCATTTTGGAATCATTCTGATTTATAAATGTCATACTGTAATTTGTATAATTTATAATCAGTCTTTCAGTTAACAATTTTAAAAACCTAATGAAAAAGATTGATGCAAAAAGTTACATAGCTAGCAAGGGTCACTGTAGAAAACTTGAAACAGTTGATTTTTTTAAAATCAGTTTAAAATTTTTTTTTCATCAATTTAAATTATTTATTGCTACCAGTTTTACTTACTAATTAATGCAGATGCTGGTAACTTTATCTATAATGAGTCTGAAAATCAAAAGCAATATGTTAAGCTGTTATTTAGAAATATGAATCATTTTTGAATAATTGTTAATCCTGAATCTGCCATAATGTCTGATACATTACACTAATAATAATTTGTCTAAGTATTTCAGGCCATTTTTTTATGCAAGCCTTTCTCTTGAAGAATAAATTTTGCATACCTTTAAAAATGGGAAAAGGCACATAGAAATCATTTATATTTAATAGTTGCATCTACTAGAGGAATTTTCGTGTTAAAATTAAGCTTAGTTTAATTGCCAACAGAAAATGGTGACTTAACTGCCTTTAAGTCAAATTACACACTTTAATTATTTAATAATTAGTTTAGTCTGAAAATCAAGATTGATATAATTCTTGTAGATATTTATTAGGAAATTGGTTTGGTTATTTATGTACATTTTATATTTGAAATTTTATTTTGAAAATGCTAAGATTATATTAAAGATTAAAGACTGGATTTACAATTAACTTATATTAAGATAATAATTTAGCTCCTGAAGTTTTCTTTCTAATAAGCTTAGATTTAAATTAAAAAATATAAACTATAAAAAAGTTTTATAATTCTTATATATAAAATTTGAGCACAGTTTAATATCATTATATCTAACTTAATCAATTCTAAAGTGGTGTAAAGAAAATAGCTATAGTTATTCTTGGTGAAACTAGTTTCTTTTAATCAATAATATGGTACATGTGAAAGATTTCATATTATAAATGCTTATAATATATTACTGTACTGTTTATGATATGAAATGAAATACCTAGAACAATTTTAAACATTAAATATTTTTTTAAACTAAATTATGAAAAACTGAAAATGCAAATTTCTTTGGGAGTATAACTGAAAATAGCATATTTCAGATAAAAGTTTACTACTTACAAATACTTTGTTTTTATATGCAAGTATACTGTACTTACTCGCATATAAGATGAGGTTTTTATACATTTATCACATATTCAAATTCCTAGGTCATCCTATACGCACAAGCAAAAGATTCTTTGCATTTTTGCAAATAATTGTCGTGAACTGTGTATTCACATTTTTTACCAGATGCTTACTTATGTTTTTAAATACAAGAGGGTATTTTATCTGGGTCATTTGAATTATTCGTGTATATTGTTGGGAGTAAAGGTGAATAGCAATAGGAAAGCAAAGCTTTTCAATTGAATTCCAGATTGAAATTCCAAAATCACATGGGAGCCTGATATAAGTTTTAATCCATTCCCACATGAACAGATGATTATTCTGAAATCAGAATTCAGAGAAAGTCATAAGAGTAATTGACAGAGTGGATTTGACTGTTAAGAATTGGCAAAAAAAAATTCCCCAATTGTCCAGTTTTACATGAACAAATTGTTGATTTTACAAGATTTTTCCTTAAAGTTTAAAATGCCAGTAATTTTTGCAGGGCAATGTGTGCCTTTATGTTTATTTGATATTTTACTTGATTAAATGAAATAAAGAAAATTAGATTTATTAATACAATTATAATTTTATTTTGATCTTTAAAGTCACACCTTGTCCTATATGAGAGGTTATCTTATATGCAAATAAATACGGTATATAAAATATTTTTTTTCTATTTAAGAATCACTATCTTTAATCAATATTTTAAAACTTTGCTAGCATTCAATTTATCTTTCTTTCTAAAAATTGATTATTCAAAAATGTGATATGAGGTTACATAAATAATGGGTTAATAAAGGTTTGTATAAAATGCTTAAATGTTTTTAAATTTTTTCTATATTTGATGTCTTTTTAAATGAATTTGTAAACTTGACTCTCAAATTGTCAACTGGTACATTTTTAGTCTTGTGAAGTCATTTTGCTTTGTTTAGTCTTTCAAATCTTATTAACTGCATAACAGTATTTTCAAATTTTTAATGTAAGCTTTGTGGTAAACAATTTTGAATTCTTTTACAAAGATTACTTTGATATTTGACTTGTGTACTATTGTCATTCCTAAAATTACACAAATAATTTAAATTACTAATATCAATAGTCAAAATACTGGCTTAAGGAGACACTACAGTAGACCCCCCCTATAACGTGGTAGATACGTTCCATGTTATACAAATTTCGTGTTGTAGGAATTCTTAAATACATGAGCCAATCACAGCCCGACACGTGTGCAGTTTAGGGACTATGGCTGTTTTGAAAGGTTTTCTTCCATAAAATTAATCGATTCTTGACTAATTCGACTCAACATTTCCAAAACACGTATAATTTTTTGGGAATAATTTGTATAAACTATGCTATAAACAAAAAAATTGTAGGATTACTTACTGGGTGTGCACCGTTCAACATCGCCATTGCTTAAGCTTGTTTTCATCGCAGAGCAGTGCACCAAACGGTGGCCGCAATTTCTGATAAGTTATTTTTCTGTAAAAAATTTGTTGAACTTTGGAGACATCATTAATATAAATAATTTTTATGGTCGTTGAGTAAGAAATGTTTCTTTCACAAGAAATGTATAAAATTACAGTGCTGTATTAGACTGATGGTACCTAATTTACATACTGTACAGACGATAGTGAACTCAACTTACTCGCCTAAACTCTCCGTAGCATGTAAGTAGTTTGGCTGCTCGTCTACTATTGATCCATATTCGACCAATCCTGTCACGACACGAGTCAGCAATGACGTTTTATGCGTCCCTTTTAGCGTCTTTATACGAATACTGTCACAATTTTTTCGCCGCATTGTAGGAACCCGCGTTATAGGGGAGTCTACTGTATTTAGTCATCCTGGAAAGTGCTATTTGAACTGACTAATTCAATGCATCGATAGAATGTGAACATGTGAAATTGACATGTAAAACTTTGCATGCTTGATCTATAATTTTAAAAATGCTCTGTTTTAAGTTCTATCAGTTAAACGTGACAATTTTAATTTATATATGAAAGACAATGTTACAGTAAAAATTTTTAAATTTTGTTGGTACAGTGTCATTACTTTGAATCAAATAAATCAAAATACTGACACCAATAACTTGATAACCAATAAATAACAATTTATTTAATTCAAAATACTTCAGGTTACCAAATTGGTTTTGGTTTCTTGTATAGATAAATGTATCAAAACCAGATTTTTGATGTAGAATTAAGATGATTAGTTCAAATTCCAAAATTAAATACAGTAGAGCGTCGATTTTCCGAATCAATTGGGGACTGGGGTTGTCCGGGTAACTGATATTTCGGATAACTGATTTACGTACGAAAAAATAGTTTAACATATCCGATGTCAAAATTTTTATCCGTTGCGTGTCGCTTCACGTTGAATTTTTGTTGATGATAAGCCTAACAAAGACTATTGTATCGTTAAAAATTATTTTTTTTATTTTGAAAAATTATACTTCAGATGTTAATTTAGTATCAAAAACGTAAAATATTTGAGTAGCCCAAGACATAGTCAAAGATTGAAGTGCCACAGCACTGGCGAAAATTTAAATTTGCCGACTGGAATTCTTTCGGATGATTGACGTTTCGGATGATTGACTTTCGGAAAATCGACGCTCTACTGTAAATAATTGATTAAACCATTATCTTATACAAAAATTAGTTTTCCAGATTAAAGCCAAACAATTGCCATGGCGAATTGGATTATTTTTATGGTGTTTGTTTAGCTTTGATTAATAATGTTGATCTTTTTGAGATGTTTATATATGCATATATAAATTTTTTTTTTTAATTTAAAATCTTGAAGAGGAGATTGACCCAAATTAGTAGTTGGACTTATATGCTTATCTACAAAAAGCTTTTATAACCAGATTGCTGCTTGATCTAAGCTTCAAACCTTGGAAGCAAAGATAGGATCTGTATGATTATGGTCAAATATCCTGGCTTTCAGATATTTGAACTTGATTGTAATTAGTTCAGAATATTGTAATGAAATAATTGTAACTTTATTGGACTAAAATATAATTTTTAATACTGGATTTAATTTTTTCAGTCGTGTGGTTCTCCCTTTGACTGTGGAAGAGGTAAGTCTTTCTTATTTTTACATACAGTGGAACCTCATTTAACGAGCACCTTGCGTAAAGAGTGACAAGGAGAGGGGGAAGTCCCAGATTGTGCGCATGCTACATCAGTCTCTGTTTAGCATACATTCTGCTAGCATCTTAAGTATCGCTTGTGATCACACATTTTTCCAAATTTGTGTTCACACATATTATGTATAAATGTCAACCATAGCCCGTTATATAATAAACACGCCAAACAATATGCCAAATTTTTGGGCTATGTAAAGGCTAGAATGAAATATTAGGAATTAATTAATTTGACTAGAGGTAGGCAGTTATGCTGCCATCTTGTATTAAATTTAATGACAAATTCCAAATTAAATTTTAGAGATGTCTAAATTTAATAATTATAAATAAATAATTTTTAATTTAATAAGAGATTACGAGGTAGCAACATGACTGCCTACCTCTAGTAAAATTAATTTCTAATAGAAAGGTTGCGGCCGAAGTTTTTATCTCTAAAATGCGAACATTGAGTGCCGCCATCTTGTAAGCCTAGAAGTTTGACAATGACGTTTAGAACATCGAGCATGATTCCAATGACACTCCAAATGCAATTATCAAACTTCTATGCTTACAAGATGATGGCACTCAACGTTCGATGTTCATGTTATAGAGATGAAAATTTCGGCTGCAACCTCTAATATTTAATTATAGCCTTTACATATGCCAAAGTCTTGGGCTATCTTTTGGCGTGTTTGTCAGACTTTTTTCTGCAAATTGAATTCATATTCCAGGTTGGTTCACGCTGCACTAGAAGAAAAGATAATGATGATTCATGCTCCTTAACAATGTATATTGTATAATATTCTTTGAATAAATGTTATACATAAAATATTCAAGTATTTTTTTCAGCATGGAACACATTATTGTACTTTACATTAATTCATAAGGAAAAAATTGTTTCACTTAATGAGTGTTTTGCATTAAGAGTAAGATTCTGGAACAAATTATGCTTGTTAAGCGAGGTTCCACTGTATTTAAAATTTTTGTATACAAAAATTATTTAATATTACTTTTTAATTTTAAAAAATTTTTTGAAAAATCTTAAAGACAAGTCTTAGAAATCCAGAGTTATTAATCAACTATTTCTAATACTCACACATTAAGCCTATAATTTGTAAGAATAAATGAATCAAATTCATCTTTAACACAAAATTATACAAACACTAAATCAAAATAATATCCACAAAAATTATTTTTATTAGAAATTGTAGATTGACTCGTAGACCTGGGCTGCAGGTTTTAATCACTATTTTAGATGCTTTTTAGGATTACGATGTACTTAAAAGAAAGGGAAATGGGGGGTTTTCTTAGAAGTTAAAAGTTTTAAATATGAAAGCATATCTAAATTTCAAGGAATTTGAAGATGACTTTTTTAAATTTCATGGCAAAGGGAGTGAGGCAGGACTGTTGTATATGTTTTTATGTATAATCATTCAGTTAACTTGTAACTTATCTAAATCAAAAAAACTTTCACACACACGCACTTACCACTGAGTCTTGAGTCCAAAAACATTAAATATTTTTTGCAATATTCATATTTGTACTATCTTCAGATCACAGCAAAAATCAACATTGTAAATTTTGTATCTTAAAATGTTCCTTATTTTTTTTATCTGAATATTCTGGATGAATCTGTTGCCAAAAATATTAGTCTTTTATTATTCTTTTGAAAAAAATTAAATATATAAACTATGTACAGTACATTTGTTACTGCTATAGATCCAATATCAAAATGTTTCAAGATTATTGCTTTTCAAAAATTACTACTACTAATAAACAATTTAAGTCTATATACAGTAATGAGTTTTTTGATGTTTGTTCCCACATCTCAGGAAAATAAGTCTTAAATTGTTTATTAATTTTTCAATTATTGTCTTGGAAATTTTCATCAAATGATTACTACTGTCAGCAGTTTCAAGTACTGTGAATCTTTAAGATCTAGCTGCTCAAAGAAAACTTTCTTCATCAGACTACTTAAACAGGATTTTTTTTCAGCTGGTATACCTGTATGTAGTAGCAGCAGTAATTTTCTTGTTTATAAGCGATGCTTTTTTTTTCCTAATTTATTTCCAAATACTATAAAAATTTTAACAGTTTAAATGAATTTTTTAAGATCACTTTCAAAAATTTTTCTCCTAGAAATGATTGAGGCTACAGAGAATTAAACATTCATTCAAATATTTTGTATTTATTTAGAAATTTCATTGTTCTGAGATTGATAAAATAAATAGGTTCGAGAATAAAACAAAGTACAAATTGCATTATTTTCAAACAAGGTCTAATAATCAAATATTCACACACAACCTGCTGCAAACATCACTATACATGCTTCAGGCCAATTCTTTTCTTCCAGTAGTTCTAAATTATTTAATTAAAAATTATAATTAAATTTATTAAGAGATGGTACCTAACGCACCTCCCTCTAGTACCAAATTGTTTCATAATTTATTAGTATTATAGCCATCTTCTAGCCTGATTACAAGCCAACCAAAGCCATATGTTGTTTTACAACCTGCTGCATTTGATGATATTGCCTAAGTTAGGTTTCTTTTCAAATTTTATAAATGATTTAATTTTTTTATCTTGATGTAACTGTTTGGTCTCAGCTAGTCTTCTAAAAATTGTTGAATAAAGCTCATTCTTATTTTTCCTTTTAAGCTAAATTTATTTATAATTTGCTTTTAAGTTTAGAATAAATTTTTGTACTTTAATTCATATTTCCAGGATTTATTGTCTAATAAATTAAATGAGATTTATTTATTTAATAAACTTTTTAATATTCTGTATCATAAACTTCTTACTTTAGTATCAAGTTGGTCAGTTATTTTCTGTGGCAGAAGCAAGTAAAAATGAAACAGGTGGTGGTGAAGGAATTGAAGTTTTAAAAAATGAGCCATTTCACGATGTCCCACTTCTTGGTGGAAAATTTACAACTGGTCAGTACACTTACAAGATATATCATTTGGCAAGGTGAGCAATTTTATTAAAATTCTATAATTGACATTAAATATGAATTATTGTCACTATACAAAATTTATGCTTTCACTGAAAGAACAAAGAAAAAAATGTTTGCAAGTCTATGTTTAATATTAAACATTTTGGGATCATTCCGTCTTCAGATCTGCATGTTCAAAAATAATGAACAATTAGAAATCCTCCTGAGGGCATAGAATAATGGAATTACAAGACTATTATTCCATTATTCTACACCCTCAGGTAATTTTTGAATTGTTCAGCATTCTATTTTTTACATGCAGTTCTGAAGGTGGAATGGTTTCAATGTTTAATCTTAAATCTGGACTTCAAGTATTCTAGCATACTTTTTTTACTTTGTGTAAAACCACACCCACACACATCTACCTTTTCTAAATATAATAAAAGCATTTTTACTTAATGTCATAGAAAAGAACTTAAAAGAATGCATAACTGATACATTTCATATCATAAGTAATATACATATTTATATTTTTCATTTACTCTAGAAGGAATTTTTTAAAGATTATCATTTTTATCACCAATAAATCCAATTTAAAATACTAGTGAGAAGAAAATGTTTTTAGATTTCATATTTATTTGATGTTATTTATTATTTTTTTTATATTTATTTTGTTAGATATTGTGAGACCTGAAAGGCCCCTGGGTCTAAATCAGTAATTTTATTAATAATGTTAATATTTTGTTATAAAATATTCTTTCGTTTGGGTGAGAAAAATAACGTTTTAATGTGGGAAAAATAGATAACAGATGTTACTTCCTTTCACAGAAGTTAGTACATCCTCTGTTTTTCCCTTATCTGCGAAAACTCTCGCTTTGATGGGAAATGTTTACCCCTCACATATCCCCCTTTCCATCTGTTCTCACGGAGGAATCTTTGCATGATGATTGATCGCCAATCGTGACATATAGAGGAAATTTGTCAGAATTCGGGGAGTTCAGCGACAGATCTGAAAGTGTCCAAACTCCACACATTTTCCTCCTGATGACCAACGCCCTTAGACGAGTCACATAGAAGAATTCCAGAGTCTGCACTTAGAAATTATACTTTGATTTTGTGCACATGTCGATCTCCCATGATAAGAAGTAAATGAACTTTATCTCCAAAGTGTCCCTTGCCTACAGAGAAGAAAATGAACGGCAACTAGAACTGGTTGTACGTTTCTAACGATTTTGTGAGCTCTCTCTCTCGATCGCGCATCGGGTATAATATAAGTCCATATATCTCTCGATATTTGTAGTAGTTAAATCTCTCGTTCATTAGTATTTTGTATTAGTTTTTATTTTCTTTGGTTTTATTAAATTTATTGTTGTTTGTTTATCAAACGAAATGACTCTTAATTTGTGTCTGAATCAGATCTCATACGCGTGTTTGTCTGCTGATCGATAAATTGACAAACTGGTGTCAGCCCTGACAAGCATCTGGACTTCACAGTTCAGATCTACTAACGGTTATCGCTCTCCTATGAAATTTTTGAGATCAGATCTAGTGATCTGGATCGTAGAGAACTAGTCCCACCGACTAGCTGCCTAGTAAGTGATACAGGTGTAACAACCTACCCTGTACCCCAGGCTGGATCTCACAATATTAAATTTATGCATTTTTCGAATAAATCAAAAACTTAGCCAGAAAACTGATATTTTCTAGATGAACTTTTGAACTGTGTGATGAACTGACTCATTTTGAATAAAATTTTCTTTTTTAGGAAGTAAATTAAACAATATTTAATTTACTTCCTAATATTTAAAATTACAATATTTTAAAAAAAAAGACTTGTTCACTTGACACAAAATTAATCATCACATTGTATTCAGATTAATAGAAAGTATTAAAAACAACCCTAAAATGTATTAAATACATATATACAAAATTACATACGAACTATCATCTTACTGTAGTTATATTGTTCAGCCATTTTATTAGATTTTAAGCAGGTGTAAATATTTTATTAACTTAAAATTTCTATTCTATAGAACAATAAACAAGCAAAAGATTATATAAGAACACTTGCTCAAATGGCCAATATTTTGTTGTTAGCATTAAAAATAAATGTATTTTTTCAGATTTTATAAAAGTTTAGTCAAACTATTCAATTTTTTTTAACCAATAGACAAAATGAGTAGATTGGAATTTTTGTTCTAATGTGTATCATTGATAGACAATCCTAATTGCTCATAACATAATCTATATTGATTGAAAAGATTAAGAATTTCATGTGTGTTCTTGATTCTTTTAATTTTTGGACTTTCATCTATTTTTAAAGTTTTTTTTTCTTGAAATGCATGATAAATTAGAGGTTTTAATAATGAATTAATAGTTACAATGTTTAAAGTATTTTCATGTTTCAGTTTTTTAAGCTAAACCTGACAGACTTCAATAATTACTATAATCTGAAAAATATTTCATTTGAAAATTAAAGTAGTTTATAATGTACCTTTTTTTATATTTAAAAAAATAATTTTGATTTTTAATTGTCAAAATTTTATTTTATTGACTATTTTAAAAATTTGTGAAAAATTTTTAATTTTGTGATTATATGAAAAATTTACATAAAATATAATTTGCAGTAAAGTTCCAGCATTTATAAGATTACTAGCACCAAAAGGGTCTTTAGAAATACATGAAGAAGCTTGGAATGCTTATCCATACTGTAAGACAGGTGAGTTTTTAAAAATATAATCAAAGTATATATGGAGCACCAATAGTTTTAATATATTTTTTCCATTAATATATTATACCAAATTTTTTGAAAAATTTCAATTAGCCTTAATACATTTCAATATTCACACTGGCAGGAAGCCCAAATCATCAGAACAGTTTCTCACCCCCTCATGCATTTCTCCACATTGTGGAGATGTGTGAAATTTATTACTACTCCATTAATAATGTGTGTAAACAGTAGACAATGATCTCTCTTCCTCCCTGCCTGGCAATATCTTCAGTCTTTTGCATTAACCACTGCTGTTATAATTATCTTATATTCTTTTCTTATACCTGAGGATGGCCTATTAACTAGGCTGCAAACATTTAGCACTTATTTTAAATTTTACCAATATTAAAGGTGCATTAATTGGGTTGTTAAATATTTTTTACATAATTACAATTACCAGAAAGAATTAGATGCTAGTACAGTAACAAAATGCTAGTTATACAGTAAAAATGTAACAAATGCCAATTAACAAAAAATTGAAAATTGATTATGCATCATAATGTGTAAAAATGTTTTAACAAATATTGCTAATAAACATTTCAATGTAAGTTCAACTCTTTACAAATGAATGATCATTGTAACAAAATCTGTAAATGTAATTTCATTGTCAGTGGTTACTCAATGTTTATCTGGCAGTACAATCTTAATTTTAATAGTCAATTAGATCATGGAATAATTGTCTTTTTGTATAATTATCCAGTTTCTAAAATGGTAGGCTTGTTTTAGATTTTAGCTTCTACAGCATTAGACAAAGATTGTTTTGGATTCTGTTAAATGTCACATTTGAATGCTGTAACAGTTCAGAAATTTGTGGAAAGTTCTTTTTGATTATATATACGGTAAATTTGAAAAACTTTCAGCATAAACAATCTGTTTTGGATGTTGTGATTATCCATGTCACTATTTCATGCATAGACTTTTTGTTGACATTGTCCTGAATAAAGTTTGACTGCCATGTAGTCAAGGCAATAAGGGTTAGCTTGCCACCTTTGGGAAACTATATTCATTACCATCTGCATTGTCTCTCAACTTTATGGGTAGTTTTATCAGGATATCAGGCTCCATGCTTCACTAATTGGTCACCTATTGTGAATCTGGCCAAACCAACAAAAGGTATGAAAAACATTCTTTTAGTGACTACATGGCAGTCAAAGATGCAAGAAACTGTAGTGAAATCAGTAATTAACTTGTAACAAATTTCACACAATTAAGATTTTTATAACTAACAGTACTATAAAAATTACTTTGAAGATTCTTTACTCAGGATGTGTAAGTTTTTTCATTTTTCTAATAACTTCCTAACATTCAGGGTTTTTTAGTGTAACTTTTTATTTTGGTGAAAATATTTTTAGGGACATTTTTACCATATTAAGTTAGAATTTTGATCTTGGTCAAACTAAGAAAAATTGACTGTGGTGATATCTATTTTTTTTCTTTTGTGGTGATACTTTTTTTTGGAAATCTTTTTAATCACATGATTTTAAATGAAACTTAATAATAATCTGAGAACTTTGTTTCATCTGATCAAACATTATCTGCAATATGTAGCTTCATAACAAAATGATATGTACCAAATTTGTACTGTTTAGATATTTCAATTTAAAATGTTTGCTTTAAATTCTCAGCTGTCAATTGTATTCATAAAACGTTTTTAATCATTTTATATATAGATACATTAAATAACCCAGCTAAGTTATCTTTAACAGTGGATTTTTGAAATAGACTAATGTTTTTGCCTATGATGGCCCATTAAAACATTGGTGCTCTTTTTCAAAAATTGCTGTTTAAAGTGCATTAAAATAATTCAGTTTATAATACCAAAGAATGTAACTTGAAAACATCAATCCTTATGGTTCTAATTGGTTATAGAAGTTTGAAATGTTTCCTTGACAACTGACTGCTTCTAACAAAATAGTTTATCTGTTTCATCTTACTATTTGATACACTTAGTACCTTAATCTTTTTTTATAGTTGGCTATTATATTTACTATTTACAGTTTAAATTCTTAAAATATCAAACTATATTTAGCTTAGTTATTAGTTCTAAAAAGTAGTCCTTTTGCAGACATGCCTGTAAATAAACTGATTTAGTTTTCATAAGTTTTATAGAAATGATTAAACGGTTTCCCCATAAGACACTAAAAATTAACCATATTCAACTGAATATAGCAATTATCAACAATTTAATTATAAAAATTTGCTGTACTTTTAAAGAAAAATAAAATTATGATTTATTTATTTTTTAAGATAAATGCTTCCATCTGTCAGATTGATTGAAGTTTAGATTTTTAAAGAATTTTTATTAATTTATTGTTTGTATGTTCAGATAAAGTAACAAAATTTTAACTTTCTTTCCAGTTTCTGATGTAGTTGAAACTTCACTTATGTATTCTTAATAACAATACATTATTTGCAAACTCTAAAAAAAGTTTTTAACAATTAGATTTTTAAAAATTAATTTAAAAAATTTTTTTTAATTGTATTGTCTATATAAAATCTTATAACAATTTTTTTCTTTCCCACTTCACAATTAAATGCTGAAACAAGAATAATTTTTTATAATTGAGTATTATATATATAAAACCATATTTTTTAATTTTTAAAGTTTTACTTTATTTGCATAAATTCACTAAAAAGTAAAAAATAAATCTTTAGTTTTACAATTTTCTTAGTATTATATGACTAAGAATAAAAGCAAGGTATGCTTGGATGCTCATGTTTAGAAATATTCTTAGTTATACTTTATCATTTTTTACGGGTTCCTCATGAGTTTCCATGCTTCTATTTTTGGTTGCATAATACCAAGAATACTATGAAAGCTAATAAATGCACTAAAAGTAAATTACATTTTCATGTGAAATAGTAAAATAATAAATATTATTAAGAAAAAACTAAGTCAATTTTCAGGAAACCCAATTCATGTCTGTTTATATAAAATAATACAAAAGAGTATAACTTAACTTATTTGATGTTGAAATTTTTATTTGTTGCCTGTGACGCCATGTTGAATTTTCATCGATGTTAAGCCTAAAATTTTTTTCGATAATAATTGTGTTTACTGTATCATAAAAAATTATTTTTTTATGTTTCTCAAACAAAATATATATATATATA